TTCAGTTGCAAGTTCCATCCCCGGCGCTGGTTGGGGTTTGTGTAGGAGGCAACTAATCGATGTGTCTCTCTCACATTGATGTTTCTCTCTCTCTCTCCCCCCTCCCTCCTTCCCACCCTCTCAGTCTCTAAAAAAAGCAATGGAAAAAATATCCTCAGGTGAGGATTAACCAAATAATGATAATAATAATAATAATAATAAAAGTTAATAGAAAATGAGGCGCCTGTCATAGCTTTACTCCAAGTTCTTTTGGTGCAATAATGCTCTAAAAAAGTTACAAAGCTGGTGGTGGAGAATAACGTTTGGACTCTGTCGATCGAGTGAGACACTCCCATAATATAAACCAGGTACTTTCATAAAGGTTGCCTTGTTACAATGACATGCTCCGCCTACGAGGTGCTAAGCATACCAGCAACATGGAGGCATCCATGAGCAGGTTGGGTAGACAGTCCCACACTGAGCACAATTAAGAGAATATACAGAATGATAACCCCATGAATTAAAAAAGAAAAAAATCAGCCATACCTTGAAGAAATCAGGTCAAGCCTAACAAGAATCAGCTGGTAGGCTTTCCCTAGTCCCCCTAGCCTATTTTCTGTTTGCTTGTTTTTCTTGGAAACCTGTAATCTTATGTGCATTTTCATCAAAAAGATGAATGAAGAATAAGAAATAAGAAAAAGAGGGGAGCACACAATGCATTTCCTCTTCTGTTTTCCCTGAGGTCAACCTGTTATAATGCATATTTAGAAAGAAAAATCATTAAGAAGGTTTTTTTCCCTATATAATCCATCCGATATGTGGTTTTCCCCCTGCTTTGAAATAAATCATTATTTCCGGAGGCATCTCTAATGAAACATGCTTTATCCTCTCCAGAGGGGGGAAAGCATTAAACAGAGCAGGGTCCTCTGCAGACCCTTCAGTCCAGGGCGGGCTGCAGACATGCTCCTCCACTCTCTTCACAACTCCTCGTTTTTCTCCCTTCTTGCCGTCCTTGTAATTCTCCTGGGCTGGGAATGCCCAGTGATGCCTGCCCTACTCTGGAAAGATGACAGATACAGCTGCTCGATTTTTCTGTAACATTCCAAATGTTTCAAAGTTAGAACCTAAACCTTGAAAGAAAAGGAAATCTTTGAAAATGGCTTCAATCACTTTCCATGTTCACAAATAGATATCCAGTTACCAGGCTCAAATACTTGTTCCATTTTAAACAGTGAAGAATCATTGAATCGTTCGTTTGTTCGTTCATTCATTCATTCCACATTCTCAGGATGACTACCAGGGAGGAAAGGTATGAAGATAGGGGATTATGAAAATCAGCATGGTAAATGAGTGGTGTGTGGATCTAATCATTTAGGAAAATCACTATTAGATTGCTTTTAATTTTACTTTTATTACTCATATTACTTTTGCTTTTAAAACTGTTTGATTTGGTGATAGAACACCACATGCATTTAAGTAGCAACAGAAACACATTTTCTCAACAGCCCTGACATTTTCCTTTCTTTTCCATTTAATTAAGTGGACTTCCCCCACCCTGGCATGTTAACATCAATTAGTAATCACTTCAACGTGTCCTTTGTGATACAGAAGATTTCTTGCACTTGGCCTTGCACCTGCATTTTCACAATTAAGTGACTTCTGTGGAGAAGAGATGGGGAATAATTTGCATCTCATGCTTGGTTATCTTTCCCAGCTTCTGGTGGGTATAAGAATGTCAGAATCCAAAAGAGGTTCATTCCAGCCACCAGGACCATTGATTTCCTCCCATGTACCTTTCCTCCTCCTTGCCATCGGGGGGCTATGTGGATGCCCACCATATGGCTCCACCCGGCCCCATATGGCTCCATCCTCCCTAAAAGGGGTGCTCAAAAACATTAAAATGTTGCTGTATACTTTTATTACAGCCCCTTCTCATTTTCCTCCATCTGTCTTCCATATGTTTATGCGACTCTATCAGGCTCTTGCACACACAGGTCTTTTAGCATGAGGATTACCAGCTGACCAAGATAAAGAACTAGCCTTCACTCCGTCCGTGGCAAGGTGCCTCAATGACTCTAAATATGCGATTCATTTAGTATTCAAACTGCAACCAACTCATAACTAGTTTTCTTCCATTTGTACATAAAATGTATTTTATTTCGTATTCATGACCTTTCTTTTAATTTTATCAACAACCTGGCTGGTGTGCTTCAGTGGATAGAGCATGTCTCATGGACTGAGAGGTCCCGGTTCAATTCCCAGTCAAGGCACATGCCAGCGTTTTGGGTTCAATCCCCAGTGGGGGGCGTGTGAGGGGCAGCCGACTGATGTTTCTCACATCAGTGTTTCTCTCTCTCTCTTCTTTCCTCTCTCTAAAAAAAATAAAATCAAAAAAATTGAAATCTCATTTTATCACCAAAAGCCACATGGCAGCCCTTCTGTTGACAGCACTGCTGTGAATTTCTGAAGAACTGCATGTGACTTCCACTTAGCATCCCTGTTACAGTCACATCAATCTAAAGTTGATTTTTAATTTTTTTTTTAAATAGTTTATTGATTTTTTTTTTAGAGAGACAGGAAGGGAGAAGAGAGAAACAGCCATGTGAGAGCTAAACATCAATCGGCTGCCTCCTGAATGCCCCCTACCAGGAAATGAACCCCAAACTTGGGAATTGAACCATCAACCTTTCGGTGCACAGGATGATGGTACCCAACCAACTGAGCCACACCAGCTGGGCTTTAATTTTTAAAAAAATTCTCAACCAAGGATATTTTTTCCATTATTTTTTTGAAAGTGTGGAAGGGAGGGAGGGGGGAAAGAGAGAGAGAAAGGAAGAGACAGACATTGACGTGAGAGAGATACATCGATCGGTTGCCTCCTACACCACCCCAACCTAGGCCAGGGATCAAACCTGCAACCCAGGCACGTGCCTCGACAGGGAATCGAACCAAGACTCTTTGGTCTGCAGGCCGAAGCTCTAACCACTGAACCACACCAGCCAAGACAGGGCTTGGTTTTTTTATTTTCATAAAATTCTCCTTTGATTGGAGGAAAAGTCGTCACCATTCTTCCCCCAAGCGTCTGTGCAACAATCTAAAGTGTGTCTTCCACAAACTCAAAGAAAAGGAGTAGGAATGAGGAGAAGCTGACCCCAACGGGCATCTTCCCACCCTGCTTAGGCCAAACCACAGCTTCCAGTCCTCTCTGCTCTGCGGAGAATGTGGCTAGCATGACATATTTGATCCCAGTGCTGGTATAATTGATAAGGAAGTGGAATAACAGTCACTGGACACCACACACAACACCATTTCCCGACAGGAGGCGACTCCTGGCAACGGTAACATAATCGGGGTGATTTCTCATTCCCAGTGTTAACATGGGAACTTGTCAGAGGGCACCCAGGCCATCCTTCACAAGAAACCAATGACAACGAGAAAGAAAGAAAAACAAAATCAAGCTAGGCCTAGTACTGGCCTTAAAAATTTCTACTCTTATCAACATGACCTAGACACAAAGTCTTGTGTTGAAGAATAAATTGTGGTGCTATTATGAAGAAAGCATTTAATCCGCCCAAACCTCTACCCATGTTTACCGGTATCCTCTTCATGACAGGCAATTTGCCAGTATTCTAGTCCACACCCCCCGTGTATAGCAGTCTGGTAATCAGTACATGGACAATTATGGCCAGTTCCATGACGATTATCCCTGATGAAGCAGAACATGGGAACAGTACTCAAACTGCACAAACTACTAATCGATGAGCACATAAAAACAACCCAGCAAATGCCAGGGAAACACATTTTTCTTTTGCCTTGTTTGTGTACAAATGACAACTACAGATTCCTCCCCACCCCAAACATACATATGCAAAGTAAAATATTCATTTGAATTCTGAGATCAAACATAACATTACTACAGGATACCTGATTGGGTCATTTTGCTTTTTCTCCTCACCCACTTATATCTTGCATACATCTTTGTTTCTCTTAATGTCCTATACAGTAGACATCAGTTAGGTCCAGACAAACCTCCTGGGACCCAAGCAAGTTCTTGCTGTCACCTAAGCTGTCAGTTCACCATCCTTTCTGCATAGGTAAAACCTCAGGGGTTACTTTGTACTAATACGACCCAAAAATGCCTCTTCCTGATGCAGGCAATGTATGATTGCAAACTGTGGGCATCACAGGTGCCCCGGCAGCAGCAAAAAGTGCATTTTAGTCAGGCGATCAAGTTACAGAATTCAGGCTCTCGCCAGAGGCCTATTCAGTGGAATAATTGCTCTGGGCTGGAACAAATCGCAAATTCTGGTTACGAGAAGCAAGCGCTCACCCTTCTGTGAAAAAAGAAAGTGTGGCCATTCTGTAAACACAATAATAGTGTTTCCGGAAGTGCAACGGTGAAAAAGCTAACCATTCTGCCCCCAGATTTAAATAGAAAGGACAAGAAGTCTGATCAGTAAGACTTCAGTGAATTTCTGGTCCGAGAAGCTACGCGTATCCTAGTCTGTACAGCAGGGCGTGCTCTGAGCAGTTTGTAAACCACTTGGAAAAAGGCAGAAGTTGCTAAGCTTATAGTTGCTGAGTACTTGCATTAATTGCTGACATTTCTGTGGGAGGCTACTCCCCCCAGTTCAGTGTCTCCCACAGGCCAGGTGAATGTTTGTTAACCCCCTGCACCTTGTATTCCTTCCCACTGAACACTGGCTATTGAATGCTGGCCTCTTGCCAACTGCCTTTAGGTAAGATCTGGTAAAAAAAAAAAAAAAAAAAAAACTGCCAAAGGAACAAGAACATCTGCCTTCCTATCGTTTTCTTTGTACAGCTACTTCCCAGGCAGCTGCTTGGATCTACATGTGTCCATTTACTGGATTTAAACAAAGCAGCATGGGGCCAGGCGGGAGGGGCACAAAGCAGATGCTGTATGGGCCCACCTGGGGTAGCACAGTGGGAGCCCTGCTCCTGAGGATACTGACAAGGGCGGCCACTGCTGAGTCTGGAAGCAGCAGACACCCGGGTCTTACCTGTTTCTTTGTCCTGGACTTCTTCCAGGTGCAAGTCATTCAAAAGGTGCTCCAAGATCTTCTCTGGGGTCCCGGACACGACCACGTATCTGTCAGAGAGCAGAGAGTCCACCGAGTCATCCTCGGTTGAAGACTGTGAGCGGCTGCTCCATTCATCGTCCTCATCCTCCTCGTCGATGTATTTGAAATAAGGCACATCGAAGGTAGGCAAGGGCAGCTCTCGGTCTGAGAGCGCTGCGGAATCCTTCCTCTCTAAATGAGGGTCAAAGACCCTCAGCCGGGAGCTGCCCATTGTGCCCGGCTGCTAACAAAGGCATCCCCTAAATGCTAAAAGATCTTGGCCATCTCGGTCTTTCACTGGGAACTGAGTCCATCTGGCTGCTAAGAGCTCTGCAGTCAGCTAGAACGCTGGAGAGGCGGAGAGAAAAGGGAGGGGGAGGGAAAAGGAGGCAGAGCTGGGAGCCGAGATGAAGCAGGGAAGGGAAGGCAGGCAGGGGAAAGGAAACAGGAGCACGAGCCTCGGTGGGAACTCACCTCCAATCGCTGTCTTTGCTCCCGCCTGGGGGGGCGGGGCCACCGCGCTGCACTTTCTTCAGCACCAGGACATTCTGCTCTTGCTCTCTAACAGTTGTCACTTCATCATCCTGCTGGAAGCGGGGACGGGGAGGAACGGGAGAGAGAAAATTAAAAAGAAGAAAAAATAAAGGAACTAACTAAAGCTGCATTTTTTTGAGCTGTTCTGTGCCACGGTTTCTTCAGAGACGCGGAATAAATTAGAAGTCTGGTTGAGAACCTCCCTCTTGCACAGTGTCCAGGCTCAAGTTCCACAGACACGGAACATATGCGGGAAACAAACACGTCAGAGCAAACAGAGGACACACAAACTGGGGGTGGGATTCAGCGTCTGTTCTTAAAGCTACCTGAGCGTCTTGAATTAAGGAATCCAAAGTTCAAAGTTTCAAAAAACACAACGAACTGATTGCCCGTGTATTCCCTCTTACCTGATTAATGCTAGTAAACAATCACTTTTAAAATGGGAAAATCATTGATAACATCATTCAAACACTACAACAATGAACAAGCCACATTAAGCAGTGGTGGTAAGTACATGTCATACTCACTCACACCACAGCCTGGCTTTAAAAGGTGGGCCCAAATCGACCCATTCTGTCATTCAGTTCAATCCCCCCCACCCCACCCCCCCATTTGAGATCGCCTTCCAATTTATCATGCACGTGTTTCGCCAGAATACAAGCAAAAATGGATCTCTAGTAAGAATCTCATCTAGGCTGAAATTTGGAAGTCATGGGTGAGTGCGCTGACGTTCTTCACCTCAGTCCCTTTGAAAAAGGAGCGGAGGGCGAACAATCATTCATTTCTGCACACACAGCTTCCACAGCTCAGCCAGCGTGGCCCGCTGACGTGGCTGTCGGAGTGGGCTCACTGCTGACCCAGCAGAGTGCAGCCCAACCCTGAGTGATGAACTCGCCCAGAGTGTGTCCTGAGAAACTCTCCCCATGCGGGCACCTAGTAAGTGTAAGCAAGCCCAGGGGAAAAAGAACTTTAAAACGCGTATAAGAAAATGTAAGATTAAAGCAAGAAAAGTTGATAGGCAAATAGGCTTCGTCTTAAAAATGATGTCACTTCTTTAAAAAGGAAAACCTGTCCTAGAGTTCTTAGCATGTTTCTGCGGCTGGCAGAAATACCTTATAATTAAGTATAAACATAAGGAATAAAAGGATAAAAGGTGCTAGGTCCGTTCTGCCTTATTATTAATCAGTTCCACAGATCTTTCAGGGATATCAATGTATTTTATTCACCCCTTATAAGAAAAACAAGGCACTCATCTCGTTATAGTTGTTGACCAAATCAGTAATAAAATTATGATTTCAACTCCCAGGGTCCTGATTCCTAAGAAAATATAGTGACTCAGTCACTTGAGTCCTCTAGGATCTTCTTAAAAACAAACAAAAAAATTATCAGTCATTCTAAACAGCAATATGATGATTTTTATTAAATCTTTTAGTGGCAAGTAATTTTACTATGGAAAGCTGATGAATTATAGTTCAGCAAGGTCAGACATGCAGTTACTGTGGCAATTAATGTTGGATATTCATTGTCAAACTCCCCAAGGACAGTAGTGTAACTCCTGGAACATGAATACCAATGTGTAATTGCTGTCTTTCATTTCTCCAAAGGGGTTCTTTTGTTATCCATGTGAAATAAGGTGGCTAGAGACAGGGGCATATATTGAAAACAAACACAACAACAACAAAAAAAACGGGCAGAATGTGGGTCTGAGATACTGTGACACACAGAAACAAATAATTCAGTATATATAGATTTGAAAGGACGAATTCTTTCCCTGGTTTTCCTCTTCTCATAAGCCAATACTCATTTTGTACGAGCCCACTGTCATCCTGAAGTACATTTTACATTCTACGTGCACGTGATATATGACATTATTAACTTCCACGGGCCATGCACACACATATGGATGGGAAGGGCTTCCCTAATGTCTGTGTAACTAATATGCATTACAGGACTGTGCACAGAGCAGCCACACTCTGCTGGGCAGGGGAAGAGCTGAATCACATTGATGTACTATCAACGGCATCTAATATCATAGTGGTAGTTTCCATTTTGAAAACCTGTTAAAAATAAAGAAGAGAAAAAGCAGAAAAATCAATGTAAAAAGGGAGTTAGTTATTTAAAATTGCCATGAAAACATAAAAACCCTCTGTATTATAGATGGCCCTAAAGAAGGAAGGTTAAATAATGCCTCCCAACCCATGCACCCTTACCTAATTGCTCTTCCCGAAAAAGAGCAGAAGCACCATGGTTGAGGTTCAGGGTGTGAAACTTTTTCTAGGGCCTGCTTGGTTAAGAATACAAGTATACAGAGAACTAGTGATGGAAAATAGGCTTGATGCTGAGTCGCTCATGAAATGCAAGTAAAGCATTAAAACACTAAATTTACAGTACTTTATTCAACAAACAGCGAGTATCTCCTTTGGCAAGGCACGGTGCTGGTCTCCAAGTGGCGAGCAGAGAGGAGTGAGATGAGTACCCTGCCCTTAAATGACAAGTGAACAGGCTCCGTGACCATGTAAGTCTAACTTGGTGAGCACCCTCAGATGAGGACAAATGCCAGAGACAATGCAAAACTGTAACCCATGGATCTGATGGTCAAAGATGAGTGCGGGTGACAAGAGAACAGGATGCCATTAAAGGGGACAAAAATGTACAGAGAAATTGGTTCCGGTGAAAGTGATGAATCTAGTTTCCACAGTCGGTGTTTTAGTAAAGATAATACATCACGCTGTCGATGTTTAGCAGGCAGTCAGAATAAAGAACTAGCCCCCTGGACAAAGGTCAAAGACAGAGACAAATCTGTGAATTATTCAAGTTTGGGGAGTGAATGAGATCGTTAAGAGGGAACAGGAGAGAAAGGAAACTATGAAGATGAGGATAAAGAGGAAAAAACACAGAAAGTTGGGGGGAAAGGTAGGGAATCAAAGTCATGGAGAAAACCTACAGGCAGAGGTTATGGAAAAGCAAAATCAAGATGAGTCAGGAGGAGCTGCAGGGCACTGTCTCAGGAGATTCAAAGAAAAGGCTTGCCTGGCAGTGTGAAGTTCACAAAGACAGTCAGTCTAAGACAAAGCAATGAGAAGATCACTCTGGGTGCACTGGTGGGAAGAGTAGTGTTGCGGTGTGAGTGAATGGGGAGGAATGAACCGACAGGGAAGACCACGCACGTCCTAGGAAGGTCATCGAGAAAGGAGGGAGTCGGCCTAAAGAGCCCGCATGGCTGGGAAGGCAGTGAGGTAGCCAGGTATTGTGACAGGTTCAGAAACACAGTGGAGGCCTAGGCTATAAACGAACTGAGATTTCATCCTTTCAAGGATCACGAGAAAGAGGATGGGTGAAGACTTAGCAAACATGAAGTAGAGATAGTAAGGAAGCTGAGGTAGAGCCGAGGAGATGGCTTCTCTCTCCTTAGTACAGTGGGGACTGAGCTCATCTTATGGAACTTCACGGTGAAGTGGCCTAATGAGGTCATTGGGAAAATGGGTTTCGGAGGCACAAGAGGGGATAAACAAGTTGTGAAAAAAAGGATTGCCAGGTACCTTGTGGACTGTTGAGGGTAGAGAACACATGCTTATGGTTTGATGTCTTTCTGTTGAAATGACTAGAGACCTTGAGGAGAAGAGTGAACGGTGAGCCCCACCCAGGAGAAGGGGCTGGCAAAGAAACAACAGGAGTAATCAGGGGAGGGATCCTGGGCAGCCGTGAGCACGCCCTGAGAACAGCTCATCACCAGATGTCTGCCTGGTCAGGGAAAGGAGTGAGCCGAGAAAGGAACTGATAAACTGGGGACATGACCGTCCCCACAGGAGCTAAGGGATCAGCCAGGTGGTAGAGGAGGAAGCAGGTGGAAGCTTCGATCAAGGAGGCAAATACAGCAGAGCAGTTTAAGTGGTGAAGACTGAGAAAGAGCGAAGCAGCCCCAGATATCTGGGAGCTGGCCTCACACTCAAAGCTGGGCTTGGTGTTCTCCTGTGGGTCAGCAATGATTTCACGGAAAATCAACAGCAGACAAGGCCACTCTGTGACCAAGACGGAACAAAACAAAAACATAGCCACTCAGCAAATGTATCTGAACATAGATAAAGCATGAACACCGGCCAACCCAGAAAGTACCAGAGAGCCCAGCTAATGGGGTGACTGCGGCTTCTTTCCCACTGCAGCGTCTTTGCCCTAGTCTACCTGCTCTGTGGATGAGATGTAAGATCCAGTCATGGTTATCCCGTCTATTAACAGCATCTAACCCAGAGCAAGCCCTGCTTCTTTCTTTAAGATTTTTTTTTTAAAACTGACTTTTAGAGAGAGAGGAAGGGAGAGGGAGAGAAACATCAATGTGAGAGTGAAACAAGAGGAAGAGCGTGAGAGAAACACTGATGTGAGAGAAAAACATCGATTGGCTGCCTCCTGCACGCCCCCTACTGGGGAATTGAGCCCACGACCTGGGCATGTTCCCTGGCCAAGAAATGAAACAGGACGTCTCAGTCCATGGGATGATATCCAACCAACAAAGCCACACGGGCCAGGGCAAGCCCTGCTTCTTTAAATCCTCCCCCAAATCACCTAACACAAACCCAAGCCCTGTAAGTCCTTTCTTCTATCGCCATCTTACACTGAGCTGCCCCATGGTTCTCCATGGTGGGAGGGCTCCATCACTGCACAAGCAATAAACCCAGCTTGTTCAACGACAGCTGCGTTCCTGGTGTCTCTGGCTAGAGGACACTGCCAGGAGGTATTAGATGCTGCCCTGCCCTTGGCATGAAATGGGGCAGAAATCGTGGTTATTGGAGTCAAGGATAAAAAACATTCCCTTGTCAGGGTGATGAGAGTCTTACCCAGGAATGCCCCTGAAAGCGATTTCAGGGAACAGGGCTCAGAAAACGGTGAGGTAGAAGACAGATAACAAAGCTGAGGAAGGGGAAGAGCACCACGGAGTGGAGGGGAATGACCTGAGCACGTGGCACCGACCTCGGGAAGGAAGGGATTCCGCAGGTATGGAAGGTGCGGTGGGGAAAGAGGTGCATTCCCAGAGGGCACCATACGTCTTCATACTTTTGCC